AAATAAATATAAGTATCAATGTAGATATATACACAAATAAAAATGCATATAAATCTAAATATAAATAATCTCTAAATGTTCAGATATAGATACAAGTAAAGATATAAAAACAGATATATAAAGAGGTAAAAGTAAATATACAAAAAAAGAAATAAAAGCAAACAAAGCACAAATAAAGATAAAACACAAATTTAAATAAAAATAAATACAAATAAAGAAATAAATATGTAAATGCAAATTGAGATATAATGCCGTTAATGCATGCATGCAAATATACGCACAAAGTCTGGGGTGTAGGTACAGCCGGCGACTTTGGCAAAAAAGGAAAAAGAGAAAAAGGCAAAGACAGAAATGCAAAAAGACAAAAATGTTTTTTCTCAGATAAATATGGAAAGAATTTAAGACTTAAATGGAATTATATAATGCATGCATGCAAATCTGCATGCAAAATGCAAAAGTGTGAAGAGAGGGTCAGCATTTGCTGCTGCTGCGCTGCAGCAGCAGCAAATGTGCAAAAGGCGGACTGAGTTGAATTAAAACGGAAATAAGGAGTTTTAAACCACCAAATGCATCAAATAATCTCAAAATTAATCTCAAAATAATCTCAAAATTAATCTCAAAACTTATTTGTCAAGAGTAGAAAGGCCCCCAACCAGCAGCAAATTCGAAGGAGTGAAGTTGCATGCGCGGAAGGCCACAGCGCGCCCGTACAGACACTGCAGCAGCAGCAGCTGCGAGGGGCCCCCGGGCCCCACACGGGGGCCCCCCGCCCCACTTCCTGTGGGGGGCCCCTCGGGGCTTTCGCCTCCGCGGCGGGGGCCCCCCCCTCGAGATGCTGCAGCAAACATCCAAACACGCACGGTCCTGCTGCTGCTGCTGCTGCTGCTGCTGCTGCTGGGAGCACTGGTCTCAGGAGCGGTGCTGCTGCTGTTGCTGCTGCTGCTGCTGCTGTGATCATTGCTGTCGAGAGGGGCGAATTTGCTATTGCTAGTACTACCACTGCTGCTGCTGCTGCTGCTCCTGATGCTCCTGCAAGCACTGGTGTCACGAGCGCTACTGCTGCTGCTGCTGCTGCTGCTGCTGCTGCTGCTGCTCACCTGCTGTTGTGTCCCAGAGGAGCACGCGCCCGTCTCCTGTGGCTCCGGCAAGGAGGGAGGAGTTGTAGCAGAAGGAGAGGGACTTCGCGTAGGTTGCTGCTGCTGCTGCTGCTGCTGCTGCGCTGCAGCGGCCCTCAGCAGCAAAGGCAGCAGCAGCAGCAGCATGAGCAGCAGGAAGAGACGCCGACCCCATCGACAACAGATTGCCAGAAGGGATGTCCCAAACGCACACGTTGCCTGTTTCATCTGCAGCAGCAGCCAAACCCTAAACCCTAAACCCTAAACCCTAAAAGCCTCAAGAGACCTGCGAGCTTTTCAGCGAGTTGTCTCTGCAGCATGCATGCAGTTAGATAAACGGTATTCCAAACCCTAGGCCAAACCCTAAACCCTAGACCAAACCCTAAACCCTAGGTGCCAGACCTGCTGCTGCAACAAGCCTTCCGTTGGGCGACGCGGTGAGCGCCGTCACCTCCTTGCTGCTGCTGCTGCAGCTGCTGCTGCTGCTGCTGCCGAGTGCTGCTCTCCCAGCAGCACTAAGCCACCTCGGGTCTAGCGGCCACCGCAGCGCGGCGTCTGAGCCGTTTCTTGCTGCTGCAGCAGCAGGCGTTGCTGCTGCTGCGCTGCCGAGCCCGCCGTCCCCTGCAGCAGCAGCAGCAGCAGCAGCAGCAGCAGCAGGCCTCGGCGGCGTCCAGCTTCTCACTGCATCTGCTGCTCGCAAATCGAAAAGCCGCACAACTCCGTCAGAAGCCCCCGTCAGCAGCAAAGAAGAATTGGGGTGTATGTACACCTTGGGCACATCTGTGGCACCCCCGGGGTGCTGCAGCAGCCGCAGCGGGAAAGAACGAGAAGTGCACCAGAGCCGCGCCACATTGTCCCCGCCCCCAGAAGCAAAGTAGTGCCTGCAGCAGCAGCAGCAGCAGCAGCAGCAGCAGCAGCCGCGGTGGGGGGGGCAGTGGGAGAGAGAGCGGCAGACACGCGCGAGCAGTCGCGGTCGCTCCGGGAGCAGCAGCAGCAGCAGCAGCAGCAGCAGCAGCAGCAGCAGCAGGCCCGCCCAAAGCCGTGGCAGCCTCAGCAGCAGCGCATCTGGGGTCAGCAGAAGCAACAGCGGAGGCAGCAGCAACCGACGTAGGTACTGCTGCTCCTGCTGCTGCTCCTGCTGCTGCTTGCACTGTTGCACAAGCAGCTGCAGGAGAAGCAGCACCCCTGCAGCAGCAGCAGCACCAGCAGCAGCAGCACCTGCAGCAGCAGCGCGAAATCGCCTCACCCCAGGGGGCTTGCTGCTAGGCTCCAGATGGGTGCAGTGGCCCCTCTGTACTGGCAGAGGGGCAGCATTTGCTGCTGCTGCTGCTGCTGCCTCTTCTTGCGGGTTGCTTCGGGCTCATCGTCTTCGCCCTCGTCGCTGTCTGAGGCTGCAGCGCCTTGCTGCTGCTGCTGCTGCTGCTGCTGCAGCTGCTGCAGCTCCTGAGAATAAGGAGTGGGCCACAAACGAATAACTGCGTCGCTGCCCCCAGTCAAAAGGCAGCGGTCTTCAGCTTCAGCAAATGTGAGGGCCAAGACCCTTCCCTCGTGGCCCACGAGCTTGTAGCAGCAGCTGCTGCTGCTGCTGCTGCTGCTGCTGCTGCTGCTGTTGCTGGAGGGGAGGCGCTGCGGCTTCCCCCCTCCCCCGTCCTCTTCCATCGACTCGTGCCCACCAGCAGCGGGGCCTGCTGCCTCGTCCATGTCGCTGCTGCTGCTGCTGCTGCTGCTCTTCTTAAGCAGCTCCAACGCCTTCGCCTCCGCTCGCTGCAGCAAACCAGCAGCAGCAGCAGCAGCAGCAGCTTTTCAGCGCGCTCTTGCCAGCTGCATTGAGAGCAGCGCCAGCTCACTATAATGCTCTCCAGCAGCAGCCCTCTCGCCTGCCGCAGCAGCAGCGCAAGCAGCAGCAGCAGCAGCAGCAGCAGCAGCAGCAACGGACTGGCTGCTGCGCAAGGTCCCACAGAAGCACTTGCCCCACACCCCCCAGCGCAGCAAAGCGGGGCCGCTGCTGCCCAAGGGCAATGCTGCTGGCTTCTATTTGAGTGTTCATGAAGCTGTAGCAGCAAACTGACGGCAGCTGGCTAGGGCTCAGCTGGGCCTGCAGCAGCAGCAGCAGCAGCAGCAACAGCAGCAACGTTGGCGACAGCGACAGCAGCAGCAGCAACAGCAGCAGCAACAGCAGCAGCAGAAGAGGCTGCCGCAGCACCAACGGCGGCTGCAGTGGGCCTAAGCAACGGCCCCAGCAGCTGCGAAGGCGCGCAGCAAGAGAAGCCGGGATGGATAAACAGCAGCAACAGCAGCAGCAGCAACAGCAGCAGCAGCCGTAGTGGCAGCAGCGGCACGAACAACAATAGCAGAAACAGCAGCAGCAAATGCTGCCGCAACAACAGCAACAGCAGCAAGAGCAGCCAGGAACGACAGGAACAACAGCAAGGGCAGTCAGCAGCACGAGAAGCAGCAGCAGGCGCAGGCAGCAACAGCGGCAGCAGCAAGAACAGCCAGCAACAACAGCAGCAACGGCAGCCAGCAACAGCAGCAACAGCAGCCAGCAAAAACACAAGCAGCAGCACGAGCAGCCTGCAGCAACAGCAGCGGCAGCGAGCACAGGCAGCAACAAAGGCAACAGCAGCAACAGCAGCCAGCACCAACAGCAGCCAGCAACAACAGCCACCACAACAAAAGCAGCAGCAGCACCAGCAGCAGCAGCCGCAGCAGCAGCAACAGCCACTGCAACAAAAGCAGCAGCAGCACCAGCAGCAGCAGCCGCAGCAGCAGCAACAACAGCCACCGCAACAAAAGCAGCAGCAGCACCAGCAGCAGCAGCCGCAGCAACAGCCACCGCAACAAAAGCAGCAGCAGCAGCAGCAGCAGCAGCAGCAGACCCTGTTTTCAGCCTGCGTCTTGAGCTGCTTGCGCAGCAGCAAAAACGCCTCCGTAGTTGCTTCTGGGAGAGGCAGCAAACAGCGATTTTCGACTAAGTCCGATTCCCTTAGAGCTTCTTGGCCCAGAACTCGGACTCGCTGCAGCAGCAAATTGCAAATGAGAATTAATTAATTCATTTTAAATAATTTATTTCAAATAATTCATTTAAATTAATTGAAATAATTATTATTTCAGTGAAATAATTTGTTGGAAAGGAATTATTCCCAAAAAATTCAAAATTCTAAAATTCCACCCAAGACAGCTGCAGCTGCTGCAGCAAAAGCTGCAGCTGCTGCAGCAAAAGCTGCAGCTGCTGCAGCAAAGGCTGCAGCAGCAAAAAGGAAAAATTAAAAAAAAGGAAATAAAAGAAATAAGAATAAGAAGAAATAAAAGAGATAATAAGAGATAAATGGAGGCAAAAAGAAATAAAAAAGATTAAAAAAAAGAGAAAAAAAAAAGAAAAAAGATAAAAATAAAAAATAAAAAAATGAAATAAATTAACCTTCATTTTTTCTCCATTGGGGAGAGTAAGCAGCACATCGTCTCTGTAGAGCTGCCTGGGCAGCCCCCAGAAGACGAGCCGCTGCTGCTGCTGCTGCTGCTGCAGCAGCAGCTGCTGCTGCTGCTGCGGGTAGTCAAGCCCCCGCAGGTGTGGGGCCCCAGCAGGTGCATGCAGCAGCCGCACTGAGGACTGCAGCAAAGACTCTAATGGCAAACTTCTTGTCTCCGACAACCAGCAGCGCAGCATTAAAAAGGACCGCCTGAGACGCACAAATGCACCTGCTGCTGCTGCTGCTGCTGCTGCTGCTGCTGCTGCTGCTGCTGCTGCTGTGGTTGTTGTTTTTCCTGGTGCTGCAGCAGCGGCGGCAGCTGCTGCCGCTGCTGCTGCTTATACAGATTAGGCTGACTGCGCTGCATGTGCTGCTGTTGCTGCTGGCATTGACAGCACGGCGCCGCTGCTGCTGCTGCTGCTGCTGCTTCGCGTGCAGCAGCAGCAGCAACAGCAACTGCGGAGGGAAGCAAAAGCGAAAAGGGAAAAAGAAACAAACTCACTCGGACAAATAAAGTGCATGCTTCTCTTCACCTTGAAAATAAGCAACCTGCTGCAGCTGCTGCGGGTGCTGCGGCTGCAGCTGCTGCAGCTGCTGCAGCAGCGCCGCGTGCCGGGCTGCATGCTGCGGCCCGTACACCCGCAGCAGCTCACGCGCTGCAGCAGCAGCAGCAACAGCAGCACAATCGTTTAATAGCAGCAGCAGCAGAAGCGAGACATTTTAGAAGAACAGCAGCAGCAGCAGCATGTTCAGCAGCAGCAGCGCCCTCTGCAGCAGCAATTGAGTGGCAAAGGAAAAGCCTGCGCAGGGCTGCAGCTAGTGGCTACTGCAGCGGCTGCAGGAGCAGCAAGAACAACGCCAGCAGCAGCAACAGCAGCAGCAGCAGCAGCAGCAGCAGCAGCAACAGCCATCGGGAGCACAGGATTGACAGCAACGCAGCCACAGACGCAAGCGCAGCCCCAGACGCAGCGGCGCAGTCAGCAGCAGCAGGCGCAGCAACAGCAGCAGCAGCAGCAGCAGCAGCAGCAGCAGCAGCAGCAGCAAGGCGGACCGTCAGTGGGGTTGATGAGCAAAGTGCGCTGGTAGATCTTCATCAAAACAGCAAATGCTGCATCCAGCAGCTCCTGCTGCATCTGGGGGTCCCAGAGGCCCAAGACCCAAGACACGAAGTGTACGTACAGCCGAGTGTAAGCAGCAGCAACCACGGGCCCCACACCTCGCGCTGCTGCTGCTGCTGCTGCTGCTGCTGCTGCTGCTGCGGGAGGGCCTCCGGAGTCCGGCGAGGAGTGCGCGCTCACGCCAGACGCAGGGGACGCGTCTTGCTGCGGAGGCGGCCTCTGCTGCTGCTGCTGCTGCTGCTGCAGCTGCTGCTGCTGCAGCTGCTGCTGCAGGTCCTGCAGCAGCTCGATCGGCACGCGGTACTTCGCAGCAAGAGCAGCTAGCTGCCCCTCCTGAGGGGGGCCCAAGTGCATATCTGCTGCTGCTGCTCCCACGCCCTCGCCAGCAGGGGCAGCAGCAGCAGCACTAGCTGCTGCTGCTGCTGCTGCTGCTGCGTCGCCTTCCATGGCTCCAGCAGCAAGGCGAAGAACAGCGTCCCCTTGCGCCTTTCGAAGCCCCAGCAGGGCGCATCTGCTGGCCCGTTGCTGCTGCTGCTGCTCCTCAAACTGGCCCCGAGAGCCGCAGCAGCAACAGCAGCAGCAGCAGCAGCAGCAGCAGCGGTCGCCGGGATCTTGAAGGACCTGAGGCAGACAGTGAAGGGCCCCTCAGCCCAAGAGAAAAGAAGACGCAGCAGTCTCTCCTGCTGCTGCTGTGGGGCCCTGCTGAGGAGCTCGCCAGTTGCTGCAGTTGCTGCTGCAGCAGCCGCTGCTGCTGCTGCTGTCCCAGCTGCCGCTGCCCTTCCTGCCTCAGCTGCTGCTGTTGGCCCGCAGCACCGGCTCCATCAATTCAAATACATTATTTAAAACATAAAATTTAGTATTTCTTTCTGCTGCCGAATATTTAATTCTTCAAAAAGGCCCTTGTTGCTGCATGCGCAGCAAGAAATCCCGGGGGCCCCCAGCGCCGAGGGGCCCCCTGGACCCTGGGGCCCCCAGCATGCCTGGGGCCCCCCAATGTCCCCGAATTATTCTCAGAAATTGCATTAATAAACTTAAAGTATTTTTAAAATCTTAACAGAAATGCTCAATGTGATCGCCGTGAGTCTTCTTCCAGCCGATGAACAGGCAGCAGCAGCAGCAGCAGCAGCAGCAGCAGCGAAAGAAGCAGCAACACGCGCACAACAGCAGCAGCAAAAGTACGGCCCAGCTGCAGCACGCAGCGCAGCAGCTGCAGCAGGCTTCACCCAGGCACAATTCCGGCCCCGCTGGGGGCCCCCTAAAGCCCAAAGGCTGTAGGAACTGTGGAAATCTAGGGGGCCCTCAGGGGGCCCCCATGGCTACAGGGGGCCCCCCGGGGGGCCCCCGGGAAAGACCCCCAGAGGGCCCCCGGGGGCCCCAGAGGGGCCCTGGGCAGCGAGAAAAGGATCATACAACATAACGTTTTTGCTGCTGCGAAGCTATTGCTGCTGCAGCAAAAGAGTTGTTTTTGCTGCTTCGTTAATGTATTCTATTTTCTTCCGGAGTGCCTGGAGAGGTGCTGCAGAAGCCCGTTTTTTGGGGTGTACGTACACCTGGAAGGCCTGTGGGCACTAGGCCTTTCTCTGCACTGCATGCATGCATTTGGGGCTGCAATTAGTTGATTAAAAGCTACCTTTTGCTGCTGCTGCACTGTTGCTGCAGTAGACTCCTCAAAAGTCTATTCTAATTGAACAAATTAAAATCTTTCTAAGTCGAGAAAACGCAAAAAGACACTCTGTTGCCTGTACGTACACCTGAGCACACGTGCATGCAGCTTCGCCTACAAATGCATGCAAAGCTTCTGAAATTGAATGCAATCATGGGGCTGCATGCACAGCTGCATGCACAGCTGCATGCACAGCTGCATGCAGAGCTGCATGCAAAGCTGCATGCAGCAAAGGTGCGTTTTGCTTCCTGCCGGTGCCCTATTCTGCTGCTACTACTTAGTGTCCAGTGCGCCCAAAGCTAAGTAGCAGCAGCACGCAGCAGCAGCACGCAGCAGCAGCAGCAGCAGCAGCAGCAGCAGCACGCGTGGCTGCCGGTGCGGCAGCATATAAGCCAGCCTTCACATCAACGCATATTAAGGTCGAATGGCAACTGCAGGCAAAGGCTGCCGCATGCAGTGCACTAAATTTTTTCGGGAGGCTTACAGCAGCAACTGCTGCTTCAGCAGGGGCTGCTGCTGCTGCTGCAGCAGCAGCAGCTCGAGCTGCAGGAGCAGCGCAGCACCACTGGGCCTGCAAAAGGGACGTAAGCTGCTGCAGCACTTGATGCTGCTGCTGCAGCTTCTGCTGCTGCCGCTTCTGCTTGCCTTGCAGTGGCTAAGGGTCCTATACCTGCGAAGAGCTGCTGCTGCTGCTGCGGCTGCTGCGGCTGCTGCTGCTGCAGCTGCTGCTGCTCTGGGCCACGGGGCCCCTCAGCAGTGTGCATACCTGCTAACGCTGCGGTAGCTAATGTCCTGCGGCAGCGAAGCAGCAGTTGCTGCTGCTGCAGGGTGTGGGGTGAGTGGGAAAGATTTGTCTCTAAAGCTGCAAAGGCTTTCGCTGCGCCATACTCGGGGCTGCGAAGGCCCTGCTGCTGCTGCTGGGTTGCTGCTGCTGCTGCACAGGGGCAGCGGGCTCAGCAAGTGCCGCGGCAGCAAGGGACTGGGCCCCCTTCCTGTGTCATGAAACACCGTTGCTGCTGCTGCTGCTGCTGCTGCTGCAGTTGGTGTTTCCTCCTCTTCCCTGTTCACTAGAGGGGAAGTGAGCGACGTGCTGCGCCGCTGCGCATTGCCCCACCGGTGCATCATGAGCAGCCGCTGCTGCTGCTGCTGTTGCTGCTGCTGCTGCTGCTGCTGCTGCTGCTGCTGGCGGTGCTCGGTGGCCGTGTAGTAGTAGGGGCCCCCCTGGTGAACCCCGTAGGCCTGCGCAGGCGCACTTAGCATGGGGGCCCTTCCTGGGGGCCTCCCCCTGCTGCCGGTGAAAGCAGCAGCAGCACTACAGGCAGCAAAATGTGTCTTGCTGCTCTCTGCTGCTCCGCTAGAAAGGGCCTCCAGTTGCGGGCCTGCGTCCGCCAAAAGCCAGCCTGTTGCTGCTGCTGCTGCTGCTGCTGCTGCTGCTGCTGGGGGCCCCGACGCTGTGGGTGGCGCGCTCTCGCAGCTGTGCCCTATGGGGGCCTGCCAGTTCGTGCTGCGCTGCACCTGGGGGCCCCCGGGGGGCCCCCTTAGGGGGCCCCCAGGGGGTCCCACCATGTGAGGGGCCCCCTGAGGGGCCCCACCGTGGGGTACTGGGAGGGGCCCCGGCCACTGGCGGCTGCGGGAAAGAGGGGGCAGGCGGGGAGACGCAGACAGCCAACAGACTTCGTCGTGCTGCTGCTGCTGCTGCTGCTGCTGCCACTTTTGCTGCATGCTCAGCAGCCGCTGCTGTTGCTGGTGTAAATCCCGGGGGTGCCTCAAGGCAGTGCCTATGGGGTAGTTCCTCAACTGCAGACTTTGCTGCAGTTGCTGTTGGTGTTGTTGCTGCTGCTGCATTTGTTGGTGTCGCTGCTGCTGCTGCTGCTGCTGCTCATGCTGGGATTGATGTGCGTAGGGAGAGGAGCACCCCAAAATAGAATCGTTGCTGCTGAAGCGCTGCTGCTGCTGCTGCGGAGCACACATTTGTTGCTGCTGGAGTGGCGGGTATTCTCCCCATGCAGTACCGGATGAAGTTGCTGCTGCTGCCGCTGCTGCTGCTGTGTTGTGCAGAGCCGGCCAGAGCTGCGGCTGCTGCAGCGTCCGCTGCTGTTGCTGCTGCTGCTGCAACATCGAATTCGTGTCTGCCGTCATGTCAGGGACATTGTTGCTGCTGCAGGTGCTTGACTTCGTGCTCGTGCACGTGGAGAATGTCTCTCCTGACTGCTCTCTTAGCTGCAGCAGCTGCTGCTGCAATTGCTGCTGCTGCTGCTGCTGCGGCTGCTGCAGCGGCTGCTGCTGATGCAAAAGAGGTTGGGAACCATGTGACCTTCGAGCAACATGACTCGGGGAAGCAAATAAGCTTGTGCTGCTGCCGTAATGCTGCAGCTCTTCCTGCTGCTGGCTGTGGCTGTCCCAAGCAGCTGACAGTGGCGCCCCCTCCACAGTAGCCGGCAGAGGCCTGCTGCAGCTGCAGCTGCTGCTGCAGCAGCTGCTGCAATTACTGCTGCAGTTGCTGCTGCAAGTGCCGCCACTGCTGCCTGTCCTGCGACCTCGCTGCACCGGCACTAGGTGGGCTCCCTGCGCTGGAAGCTGCTGCTGCTGCTGCTGCTCCTGCTGCTCCTGCTTCCCCTGCTGCTTTTGCTGCTGCTGCTGTTGGCAGCTGGAGGGAGACACCTGAGGAGACTTACTTTTCATGTCGTGGATGCATGCTGCCAGATGCTGCCGCTGCTGCTGCAGCGCGCGGTGCTCTTCCAGCAGCTGCTGGTGAAGCTGCTGCTGCCTATACAGCTGCTCTGCTGCAGCTGCTGCTTTGCTAATATCCCCCACACTCTCTTCTGTGAAAATTTCCGCCTTTACCTGCTGCTCTTGCTGCTGCTGCTCCTGCTGCTGCTGCTGCTCCTGCTGCTGTTGATGCTGCTGCTGCTCCTGATGCTCTGCTGCCTCTGCTGCTTGCGTCTGTGTTGCTTCTGGCGTTGTTGGTGCTGCTGCTCCTGCTGCTGTGTAGGAGGCGAAAGGAGACACAGCAGCGGCAGGCAGGAACTTCTGCTGCTGTTCCAGCTGTTGTTCTTCCTGCTGCTCCTGCTGCGGCTCTTGTTGTTCGCGCTGCTCGTGATCCTGTTTCCGCTGCTCTTGCTGCTGCTGCTGCTCATCGCTCTCATTTTGCAGTAACAGCAGCTGCTGCTGTTGCTGCTGCTGCTCCTGTAAAATTAGCCTAGCGGTTGCCTGTCTGTGTTCTTGCTTCAATTGCTCGTGCTCCGCCTGAAGCTGAGCTATTTTAAGTTGCTGCGACTCCAGCTGCCTCTGCTGCATTTGCTGCAGCAGCTGCTGCTGCAGCAAGTGATCCAGCAATATTTCGGGGGCAACTTCAGTATCTTCCGTGTGCTGTTGCTGCTGTTGTTGCTGTTGCTGTTGCTGTTGCTCTGCCGCTTCCAGTAGTTGGTGAGGTTCAAGTTCGTCTTGCTGCTGCTCTTGCTGCTGTTTGTTGGACTCCTGCTGCTGCTGCTCCTGCTGCTGTAGGCTAAGTTGCTCAGCTGTCCTGTCTGAGGCTTGGCTTTGTGGCGAAACGTTGGCGTTTAGCTCTTCTGCAGCTGCGTCACCAGGCCCTTGTTTTGCTGCTTCTGCTGCTGCAGGGGTGGCTGGGCCCTCTGGGGCAGCAGCAGCAGCAGCAGCAAGAACTGCTGCTGCTGCTGGTGAAGCAGCAGGTGATCCTTCGCTCTCAGCTCGCCGGAGTATCCGGTGGCTCTTGGTAGGTGATTCACAGCAGCAACAGTAGTCATCTTTATTGTTCGGGGTTTGCTGCTGCGTCTCATCCCTCGCAGCAGCAGCAGCAGCAACCACAGCGGCAGCAGCAGCAGCTGCTGCTGCCGCTGCTGCAGCGGCAGCGTTGTGTTCGCTTGCAGGAGTTGAAGGTTCCCACAAGGAAGTGGCGTTGGGTTCCTTCTGCTGCAGCTGCTGTTGCTGCTGCTGATGCCAGCAAGACACGACGTCGCCCATGGGCAGCGCCTCTACCTGTTGGTGCTGCCTCAGCTGTTGCTGTTGCAGCAGGTGCTGCTGCAGTTGGTGTTGTTGGTGCTGCTGCTGCGCTGCAGCAGCAAAGAGTAGCCGGTGCACCGTGTTTGAAGGGCTCGAGGGAGTGGCTGAGGTGTCTAGACAGCCCGTGGGAAGGGCTAACTCCCCACAGGCTGTGCACCTTTGTGGGGTTTGCTGCTGCAGCGGGAACGCAGCAGGAAGTTCAGTTAATTCAAGTGTCATTGTAGGGCTGGAGGGGCAAGAAAGAGACCTCCGCAGCAGCCCACCGGAGGCAGCAGCACAGCAGCGACGTGGGGGGCTGTGCGCAGCGAGCCCGGCAGCAGCAGCAGCAGCAGCAGCAGCAGCCCCGGGTAGAGCCCCCTCTGCGGTGCCGATTTGGTTTTTGTGTCGCTCCCTCTGTTTGTGTCTCTGGCTGTGGAGCAGCTGGAGCTGTTGGTGGAGCTGTTGGTGGAGATCCGTGCGCTGCCGCTGCTGCTGCTGCTGCTGCTGCTGCTGTTGCTGCTGCTGCTGCTGCTGCTGCTTCTGGGGCGCGCTGTGGACGCCGTGCTCCAGCATCTCGCGAAGCACCCGCACCTCCTTCTTGAGCGCCTGCAGCACCTGAGGCATGTCAGTGAGCTGGTTGGGCTTTGCAGAAAGCCGCACTGCCTTCGCCCGCACTGCCAGCCGCAAAGTCGCAAGGGTTTCTCTGATGCAAAGTGAAGAAGGCGAAACTGTGCAGATGAAAGTTGTGAAGCAGCCGCCCCCCAAGGACTCCTGCAGCAGCCGCGTGAGTGCGGAGGACCTGAACGAGACCGTGGTGCCTTCCTGCAGCGCAGCAGCAGCCCGCAGCACCGCAGCCAGCTCCAGCCGCAGCAGCAGTGCCTGCTGCTGCTTGCTGCTGCTGCAGCAGCTGCAGCGGCAAAACACACGCGGGGCTCTTTCGACTCAGCTTACCGAGTTCAACTGCTGAATGCACAAAATTAATGCAGAAAGACTCCGGTTTATCGCCCCAACTTCCTCCATGTGGCTCCGCGCCAAACTCTTCATTGTGTCGCATCGCTCATTTCCTAAACACAAACAGCAGCAAAACAATCGACATTAAGCTTGCACGCGAGCTGCTGGCTAGCTGGCTAGCTGGAGAGCTAGCGATCTCGCTGGCTTGCTCGCTGGGTAGTTGGGGTTTCAGCCTGGGTAACTGGCGCGCCAACTACGTGGCTGCCAACTATGTGGCTAGCTGGCTTGCTAGGTAGGTGGTTAGCTAGTTAGCTGGCTAGCTAGGTAGCTGGCTAGCTGGCTTGTTGGCTAGCTCGGTAGTTGGCCTGCTAACTGGGTAGCTAGCTGGCTCGCTAGCGAAGTGGCTAGCTAGCAAAGACTAAGAGGGAGACAAACGAGTAAAAACATTGCAGCCTTGGAAACAGAAGTGGAGAGGACAGGCAGCGAGAATATTCATAAGATCAAATTATTTCCAAACAGATATAGATTAACGGTTTTTCAATGGCTAGCCACAAAGAGATCGAAAAAAAGGCAAAAGGGAGGCGAGAGGAGACGAAGAAAGTGGCAAATAAAAAGCAACTAGGAGGAGAAAAAACCAAAGAAAGAAACTGCAGCACGAGTACCACAAAATCTAAGGGGGCTAGCCAGCAGAGAAAGCCCTGCAGGCAGCGGGACGGCAACTTTAACAAAAAGCTGCTGCTGCTGCTGCTGCTGCTGCTGCTGCAGCTGGAGTGCAGTCGCTGACCTGCCAGGTCCACCAAGTTGAGTCGGGCTTGTCTAAAAATGTGTTTGTTGTTCGGCAAGGACTGGCGTAGCTCCACCTGAGAGCAGCAAAAGCCCCACGTGCAGCGCAGCTTTGCATGCAGCAGCAAATCCAGAGCCCCTGCTCCTAACCTCAATTTCCCTAAATGTGGGGCCCCACAGCCCCTGCTGCTGTTTGCTGCTATCCCAAGGCTGGAGTTGAATAGCTTTGGGGCCCTTGGAGCTATGCTACTAGCGGCTTTCTGCGCTTCAACGCCGCAGATGGCCTGATCCCGAACTCTAAACCCTAAACCCTCAACCCTCAACCCTGAGCATTAAACCCTAAACCCTAAACCCTAAACCCTTGAGGCCCTGAGGCGCTTCCGCACCTGGAAGATGGCGTGGCTTCTGCTGCTCATGGGGTTCATTCTAGTAGCTCTAAAAGCCCTATAGAAAGTGCCCCGCAGCAGCAAATGGACCAGTTCTTCACAAGAGTGGACTTCGAAGAGCTGCAGGCCCTGGAAGATGCAGAGAAAAAAAATAAAACAAAAAAGATCCAATTAGAAGCAAAACGCATGCAAAAGGGAAGCAGCAGGAAAACGCATGCACACTGGCGCCAAAAAGCTTGCATGCACAAGCAACAGGAAAGCTGCACGGGGAAGCCAAAGAATAAAATATTGAAAAAGCCAGACAGCAGCAGCTAGCTGCAACTAGCAGCAGAAAGCAGCAGCCAGCAACAGCCAACAGCAGCTAGCACCAGGCAGCAGCAACTAGCAGCAGCCACCAGCAGCCAGCAGCAGCTAGCAACGGCCAGCAGCAGCTAGCAACACCTGGCAACAGCCACCAGCGACTGGCGGCAGCAGGAAGGAGCAGCCAGCATTTGAAAATAAAATAAAAATATGAAAATGAAATTGAAATGGAAATGTCACAGAGGCACTATCTCTGGGTCTCAGGCGCACCTGGACTATCGTGGCCGTCGGGTTTGTGGGGCTCTTTACAATGGTGAGGGGCGTTGCCTTGGCTGTGGGGTCCTGCGCAGAAGAAAACAGAGGAATCTGCTGCCGCTGTTACTGCTGCTGCGGCTGATGCTGCTGCTGCTGCTGCGGCTGCTGCGGCTGCTGCTGCGGCTGCTGCTGCTGCTGCGGGTGCAGGGTCTTACTGCGAGCAGGTCCACGAGCTTGTCATTGTAAACTTGAATGTAAGAGGCGAAGATGCGAACTTGAGACGAGCTGTCTTCCCCGTACCGGCTTCGCACTCTGCAGCAAAATGGACACTTCAGGCGTGGGAGTTGAGTTCGTGCTGCTAATGGTGCTGCTGCTGTTGCTGCCGCTGTTGCTTCTGCTGTAGCTGTTGCTGCTGCTGCCGTTGCTGCTGGGTCTATCACTTACAGTTGGACTATTCTTTCGCAGGCCCTCGGGATGATCCCACAGGACTTGGAGTTCAGCAGTGCAGGAATGCGGCTGCAACGCAAACACCCCTCTCCACAGGCCCCAAACCCTAAACCCTAAACCCTAAACCCTAAACCCTAAGCCCTCTGAGCCTCAGCCTCCGTGCCTGAGCCGCTCTAGCCCGAGTCCCACCAGCCTCTGCAGCCCAACCCCAAACCAACCCCAGCCCCAAACCCTAGCGGGAAACCCCAGCCCCAAACCCCAGCCCCAAGCCCCAGCCCCAAACCCTAGCGGGAAACCCTAGCGGGAAGGCGGGAGTCTGACTTGGTGGCGGCAGCGAGTCTTTTCTGGACGAGCTGGAGCCTGGCGAGTTTGCTGCTGTGTTGAATTTTGGGGTCTGCGCAGCCGCAGCCCTTGATGAGTTCGGGCCCCAACATCGTGAAGGTCTTGCCCGTGCCAGTCTGGCCGTGCGCAAAGACCGAACAGCTGTAGCCCTCCACCACCCGCTCGATGCAGCGCTCCACAGGGCCCCACACGTCCTGCTGCCCCGCAGCAGGCCCGAAGACTCCGTCGACTTCGAAGGCCCAGCGCTGGCGGCGCAGCGCGTCGGAAAGCTCCACGCGGGAGCGCGAGGGGCAGCGCAGCGCCAGCGGGGCTTCGAGTTCGCGGCCCTGGGGGGGCCGCACCCGCACGAAGGTGCGGATCCGCCCGCTCAGCGGCGGCGGCGCCCCGCTCATCCCGCCAAACCCTAAACCCTAAACCCTAAACCCTCCCAAACCTAACGGACCCGCGACCGCCGCACACGCTCAAGCCCACGCGCCAAGCGCCGACAGACCATAGGCACCCGCAACGCCAAGCCCGACCCGCCGCCTCCGCCTCCTGCGCCTCCTGCTCCCCCGCCGCCCGCTGCTGCTGCTGCTGCTGCTGCGGCTGCTGCGGCTGCTGCGGGTGTGGATGCGGGTGGGCTGGTGTTGTGGAGATGGCCGGGGAGGGCGGCACGGAGAGGACCACAGGGTGGAAAAGTCTTCGGGGGGGAGAAAAGCCCAGCTGACACTCCTTCTCGTGAAAAGCCGCGGTGCTGCAGCTTCTGCGGCTCCTCAAGCGGGTCCGGCTGCTGCTGCTGCTCGCGCTGCTGCTGTCGGTCGAGTGACGCACGCCCGGCAGTGCTTGGGCAGGCGGTTCGGCGTGAGGTTGAGGAAAGAGACAAAGTTGGGGGGAAGCAAGCAAAGAGATTCGCAAATAAAGAGGAGAAATAAAGGGATTTAGGGGCTCAGGTGCCGCAACGTCAGTGTCGGCTGCGCCTCCGCTGCTGCTGCCGCCGGAGTCCCTCTCTGCCTGCTGCGGCTCATCCCTGGTGCTGCAGCAACAGTCCTATGAACGCCAACTCCGACCCCTGAGAATAACTAAATAGAGCAACGCCGCACAACCAACAGCAGCGACGCCAGGAGCTGTCGCTGGTGCGGCTGCTGCTGCTGCAGCCAACCAGCTGCACTGCCGCAGCCGCCGCAGCAGCAGCAGACGGTGGCCTGGCCTTCTTTCTGGCTTCCTTCTTTGGCGCTGGAGATCACCGTATCTCAGTCGAGCTCATAAATGCATTTTTTAAACACAAAAAAAGCAAAGAAAACCGCCAAACACCCAACTATTGGGGCCGCTGCCGCATCGGAGGACCGCCGACTCGGCGAGCGGACCGGCGGGCGAGCGATGGCCGAAAGGTCTTCGGGGGCGCAGCGACCAAAATGAGTCTTATTAATGCATTGAAATAGTCAATATAGCAAAACAACTCAAATAAAAGGCCATTTTGCGCCGTTTTGTAAACCCGCAGGCCTCAGGCTGCAAAGTTGAACTGCTAATTCACCCCAATAAGGCGCAGCAGCCAACCACTGCTCCTGCTCCTCAAGCCCTGTTTATTTCCTGTCAGATTAGCTCAAATTCACCATTTATTTGCATTTTAATATAGATAAATCAGCGGATTCAAATCGATTGAGGCAGTCTTCCCACCAGGTTAACCCGCAGTTGGTTCCTGCAGCCGCTGCAGCTCTGCTGCACAACAAATCGCGAGGCCAACGACTTCACGGCGCCAGGCTGCTTATCTACGTACGGCAAGAGCGACTCCGTTTCATTCTCCTTTGCTTTTGAATAAGTTTAAACTGATCCAGTTGATCCAGCAAATTTGCAAGATTCCATGGCGAGTCGCCAAAAGACGAGGCATTTGAGATTAGCCATAGCACAGATCGACGACCCTGTTCCGCAGTCGGCCAGTGCGCAAACAGCTGCTAACCCTCGAACTGCACAAATCTATTATTGGGTAGTTTAGCCACTGGCATGTTCACCGACTGCAGCAGCAGACGACGGCAGCAGCAGTAGCGGCGAATATGTTGCAGGTTGAAAATCACTTGCACGCAAAACGAATTCTCGTTTTTTCGCCCACCTTCCATCTCTGTTTTCTACTTATATGAGTATATTAGGGAAAAGACAATTTTTAGTCAGTTTTTGCACAAGAGAACAGAGCAAACGCCCTATGTGCCGACCGGGTGCCTTCCCGCTACTCTAGGGAGGCAGAATATATGGAAGCAAGTACAGAGCTAGACAATGCTGGCACTGTTACTGGTAGTGATGTTTCTGTTGTTGCTGTTGCTGCTGATTGGATTGCTGCGGGTTTTGCTGAGTTCGGAGAGTGTCGCTGCCGGAGTGCTGCAGCAGCACGCTTACAAAACAGCTACTACTGCTGCCGCCGCCACCCCGGGATTTGCAGCAGCAGTTGCTGCATGAACTCTCGAGAATAAGGCTACCATTGGGGAGTCGACAAAGGCTTTTCGGAATGTTTACGGACGCGGGAGACTGCCCCTAGTTCGCAATTTTGGGCAAACGGGTTGCGGTTTAGGGTTTGGGATTTGGACGTGAGTGTCGAGTCGAGACGCTGTACAGCTCAAGGCTGCATTTTGTCGCCTCATCTTTGTCTTAGTTTTGGGTACGTAACTCCCTTCTTCCTGCAGATGACAACCACTCTTCTGGCAGCCGCTGGGGTCAAGGGTTTAGGAATTCCCATTTGCGTATAGGGTTTGTGCTGTGTCGCGACCCACCTGACTGTCTTTCTTTCTTTAACTTTCTCGAGGTACTCTGTCAACGTTACTTTTTTTTCGGGTCCATCGTATTTTCTGTCGTCTTCCCCAAAGATGGCCTGGATCTCCTGAGATCGCGGATCAACAACTTAGGGTTTACGGTTTACGGTTTACGGTTTAGGATGGGCATTCGCGCAGCTTGAAGACTCAGACTCTCAGCTACACTATTGCGCCGTGAAAGATAAAGTGTAAGGCACTAGTGGCCATAGCTTAAGCCTCATTTCCCAAACTTTTGTTGATTTCCAGCCCTTCAACCCTAGGTCCCGAACACTCACTTGCTCCAGTAGCTCTCTCCCGAATCTGACAAAAAGAATCTGTAGAGTTTGTTCTACACTAATTTCTCCCTTCAGCTCTTTGTCATACATCAGGTACTGCACTACATGAAAAAAATTGCGGGGCTCGAGGCCTGAAGAGGCAACAGCAGCAACAGCACTTGCAGCAGTGGCAGCAGCACGACCAGTAGCATCGAAAGCGGCAGCAGCACGAATTGCCACAGAACACGCGTCAGTGGCCGTCGGGAAGATGAGGCATCCGGCAGCAATAGCAGCAGCACTGGCGGCAGCAGCAGTAGCAGCAGCAGAAACGCAAAATGCCTTTTCGAGTGCGCAGCTGTCTGCCTCTAGAATTTTAGAACTTGGGAGGTGGGAACTAGTCAAGCATGGCTTTTTAATAGCAAAGGATCTAAAATTCATTATTTGCAGAGTTTGTGCTTTTCCTGCCCGTAACATCAGTGGTCCCTCTTTGGTAAAGAGTAAGGAACTCCTGCCAGCTAATAGACCCGTCGAGATCTTCATCCACTTCCCAGAGCATCACCTCCACCTCATGCTGCAGCAGCAGCAGTAGCAACACTGGCAGCAGCAGCACCCAGCCCACTAAAGCTTTGGCCTTCCACTGAGCGGAGAACTGCTAAAAAGCATTGCAGTCTCAGCAGCAGCAGCTGCTGCAGCTGCTGGTGTCGTTGCGACTGCTGAGAGCTGGCTGCTGCTGTTTCCGCGAGGTCCCGCTGCAACAGCTGGGCTTTGCTGCTGCTACATATTGTATTTATTGTATTTATGTGTAGAGGCATAAGGAGAGAAAGTATACATTTGCATCGTGGTGGATCAGGCCTCCATTTCTCAATGTTAATGTAAAGTGTCAATTTAACACTTTGTCTCGCTCCGCCTCTGTCTTCGTCTTTTTCTCTATTAACGCTTTATCTGCATATCTCTTGTTTGCCTGGTTCTAATTTTTATGTATGCATTGAGTGTCTATGAGAGCCATGAGCTATTCAGAATGCCCGGCAAGGGAGCCCCCTTGCTGGGATCTTAGTCTATTGCGGTGTGGTTTGGAGGGTAGCTTGCCTTCGTAACTTTGTGGTGTAGGCGGGATAAAGTTACAAGGACGTCATGGGGGCTGATCTTCCCGTCATTGTCGGCGTCTAGGGCTTGGAAGGCTCTGCGGAGAGCCTCCAGTTCAACCTGGCTCGGCAGGTCATCGGAGGTGGGGTTGTTGGCATTGCTGCTAGTGCTGGGCATTCTCGAGGAATGCGCTTAGTAAATGGTCTCCAGCCGGCAAAGAAACACTGGGAAGAGCAGCAACAGCAGCAGCAGCAACACAAGCAACCACAGCAACAGCAGTACCAAACGGGGCTTCCTGCTGGCTCAAATTAGCACAGAGTCACTTTTTCTAGCCCAAAGGTTTTCTACTGCAACTTAAACGTTTCCCGGAGGCAATATTGACGATGGTTTTTCTAGGGGAAGGTCCAGCAGCGCGCAGCGAGCACTGGGTTGCAGATGGGGCTGCTGCATACGACGTTCACAAAGGGCCAAGAATCTGCTTTTCGCAGTTTTATACAATTAAATTTTAAAAAGAAAGCAAATAAAAAAATGATTTGAGGAGAAGTAAATGCCTATTTCGCCTTCAAATGGCTGCCTGAGCCCTACCTAGCTGGCAGTCACCGACTGGGGCCCTGGCTAGCTCACGCCCATGTGTACGTACGACGCAGAAAGCCAACCCATCAGCATGCACACTGGTTCCCCCCTTTTATTTGTACAATATTTCATCGACTACTGGGGGGCAACAGTGGAAAGAAGGCCAATACAAACGCAGCGGGCCCCACAGCCAAGGTCACTCCAGCGCCCCTGAGGCCCACGAACCACCCTGAGCGGGGCTTCGCAGCTGAAGCGACGCAAATCCTGCGTTTTGGAGTTCCTGCAATCTTTATAGTCTATTTATTTTGTGCCTGGGTCGGGGAAACGGCTGGAAGACACTGCCTGGCCGCAGCTGGTCTTCCATCTGCAACTGTTACACGGTTGTATGTGGCTCTGTGGCTGCTACTGCTCCTGTAGTTGTAGCTGACCTTGTCGCTTAAAGTTGAACTGTGAATTCAGCCGGTCCTGCGTTTCTGTAGCTGTATGA